GGCCTTGGTGTAATTTTAGGAAGATTATTATGTATTTGGATATTGCTTGATTTGGATCACTTGTGATTCCCCCTTTTTACCTCACATAGTATCTGAATATAGTGATTTTGAGAATTTAAGGGACAAATTTTGCACTTCTTATGCATATATTTAAATTTAGATTTTATTTTTCAGTCTATACAATGGATTTGAATTGATTCCAAGCTGCGCACATTTTTTTTTTTTCCATTTTGTTGTTTGGTGAATGTACAGAAAGCTGAATAAGAACATAGTTGAGGAGTGATTCCTGGTAAAATAATTTCGTGGTACGCAGAAAAAAGTGGAAACATTTGACATCTATAATGGCTGAAAGTAAAGGGAAGACGTTGATTGCAGAAGTCAACCCAAGGAAAATGATTTTTGAGCCCATCTTGGAGGACGGGGTTTTTCGATTTGATTGCTCTGAAAATGATAGGGAAGCAGCATATCCAAGTCTTTCGTTTATGAGAAGTAAGGACAGGGACACACCAATCAGCAGTCCCCAACTTCCTTCATATACTCCTACTTATGAAAGTCGTTCTGGCCAGCAGATTGTCAAGCTTGAGGTTTTTTCCTGCATTGGCACTTGAATTTGTTATATATCTATATATATATATATATATATAGCTCTACTCTGCTTGTAACCTTTTCTGATGTTGTTCGAGGTGTGTCTATAACCTTTTCTCATAAAGAAATTTGCTTCTGTGTAGCTTCCTAGTGGTACCAGCTTTTACGGAACTGGAGAAGTTAGTGGTCCATTAGAGCGGACGGGAAAAAGAGTGAGTGAGCCGTTTATTTCATACGCCTTAAATAAGTGTTTAACACCACCATCCTAAACATTAAGCAATTTCATGGGGTAAAAACATCTGCAGGTCTTCACATGGAACACAGATGCTTGGGGTTATGGTCCTGGAACTACATCGTTATATCAGTCACATCCATGGGTACTGGCTGTTCTTCCAAATGGAAAGGCGTTGGGGGTTCTTGCTGACACAACAAAACGCTGTGAGGTGTGCTGGCATTTGAACGTGTGACATTTCTGATCCACCCTTTGGATTTAGAATTAATCATTCCTCTTATTGTCTAGATTGATCTGAGGAAAGAATCTCAAATTCAGTTCATTGCTCCAGCTTCATATCCTGTTGTTACATTTGGCCCATTTGCCTCGCCCGCTGCTGTTCTGATATCTTTATGTCATGCAATAGGTAATTTGTGGAACCATATCAGCTTTTTCTTTGAAAATTCTTACACATTTCTTCAATATCTGGACAGCACGGGGTAATGATTATATATAGGATCAATTAAGAGAAGACCCGGAAATTATTCTAGGTCCTGGGCCACTTTCTTCCTAACAGGTGACACCATCAGAGTTTATACCATTGACATATGAGGGTTAATCTATTGTTCTTTCATAAACAGGTTAATAGCTAACTAATATTTTACCCTTTTGTTAATTAATAAATTTGTAGTAAAAATTATATTATGAAAATTAAATTGAAATTATAGAAACTTAATAAAGTTAAAATCAACATTGTTGAGTCTATTACTTAATTAATAGTCATAAATATTTTGAAGAAATGTTTACAACCAATTTGAAAAATCAATCTTCAACATTGATTTTACCTTAACATTAGAGGTGAGGGGACTTGGTGGTTTACTTGTATGTATGGTCCCAATTCTCTAGAGTTCCTTTTTTTTTTTTTTTTTTTATCTGGAGAAAATTTCCTATGTGTCTGGGCTGTGCAATCCTATCTGGTTTATTCGGGGCGATTTAAATGCTTGTAGATTGCATTGTGAAGAAGTTGGAAAGGGAGTGGGGGCTGCGTACTAGAATGACTTCTACCAGGAGAGCTTACGCTTTTATCTAAAGATGATCTTTTTTCTAATGCTCAATTTACATGGTCTATCAATGAATATTTAGTATCAAATAATATGCTTTTTTCAGAGAGTACACCATTTTTCTCCTCATTGGTCAATTCTACAAGTTAAGAGGAGAACGATGAATGACTCATCTATAGGTTCAAACTAAGTGTCTCTACTAAGTAAATAGATAATAATGTTTTTCTAGATGATGTGCCTTCAATTCTAGTTGAGCAAATTGATGATGGTGTTAGTGTGCTGCCGACCTAAGTACCGCTATCAATTGTTCGTATTTATTTTAGGAGACAACATACTAATAATACATATCTTGTACCAGCTCTCTCGTCATTTAATTCTGCTCAACATGACCTTAATCTTCCCATTAGTATTCGTAAAGGTAAACATTAATGCACCATTCTTAAATTTACTTATTCCATTACTAATTTTATTTTATATGATCATTTATTTCCTTTGTCTACCTCTTTAGTTGTTTCTGTAGATTCAATTTTCATACCCAAGATAATTAAGGAGGCTTTAAATCACTTTGGTTGATATAATGCAATACTCGAGGAGATAAATACTCTCGCTAAAATTCATATTTAGGATTTGGTGGATTTACCCAAAGGCAAAAGGGTTGTGGGGTGCAAATGAGAATTTTTAGTCAAAGTAAACTCAGATGATTATGTGGTAATACCTAAAGTGAGACTTGTAGCAAAAGCCTATGCTCAGACTTATAGGGTAGATTATTCTGATACTTTCTCTCCGGTGACCAAAATTATATTTATTCGTTTATTCATCTCTATTACGGCATATCAAAATTAACTGTTACATCAATTGGATATTAAGAATGCATTCTTTCACGGTGATCTCCTAGAAAAAGTGTATATCGAGCATCATATGGTTGTGCTCAGAGGGAGTATGGAAAGTTGTCATGTGAAGAAATTTTTGTATGGTGGAACAGAATCTCGTGCATGGTTTGACAAATTTAGTGAAGTAACTTTGGAATTAGGTTAAAGAAGGGTAAGTGTGATCACTCGGTCTTCTATAAATAATCAACAACTGATTTTATATTTTTTGTTATTTATGTTGATAATATTGTTATTATAGGAGATAATTGTATAAAAATATCATCTTCTAAGTCATTTTTATATTCCAAGTTTTACACTAAAAACTTGGAGCAGCTAAAATATTTCTTGGGAGCAGGATTAGTAAGAAGCAAGAAAGAGATTTTCTTGTATAAGAGGAAATATGTATTTGATCTACTTGCAGAAATCGAAAAGTTGAGAGTTAAGCCATGTAACACACCAATGGTACTAAATGTATATCTTACAAAAGATGATGGTGACCTCCTTAATGATCCAAAAAAGTATAGACGATTAATTAGGAGATTGAATTACATCACAGTGACTCATTTACCTATTGTATATCTTGTCAGTATTATTAGGTAGTTTATGTCTGCACTTACAGTCAAACATGGGAAGGTTTTGGAATAAATTTTATGCTATTTAAAAGGTGCTCTAGGACTTGGCATATTGTTTAGCAATCATGAGCACACTTACATTGAATACTTTGCAGATGCTGATTGGGTTGAATTTAAAATTGATTGATGGTCCATTACAAACTATTGTGTTTTTGTTGATAGGGATTTGGTATCATAGAGAAGTAAGAAGCAAACCGTTGTGTTCCAATCTAGTGCAGAGTCCGAATATAGAGTTATGACCCAATATACATGTAAAATTTTATGTATACAACACTTCTTAACTGAAGTTAGTTTGAATCTCATATTACCTACAAAACTCGAGTGTGATAATCGGATTTTCTTTCATATTATCTCTAATCCGATTTACTATGAAAGAAGCAAACATGTTGAGATTGATTGTGAGTTCATCTGTGATAAGATTCAGGAAAACTTGATCTCTATTGGTTATGTGAAGACAGTGGAACAAGTAGGTGATTTGTTCACAAAGTCTTTAAATGGAACTCGAACTGAATATTTTCGTAACAAGCTTGACATGATTAATATTATACTTCAACTTGAGAGGAGTGTTACAAAATTACAGAATATAAACAGAATATTCCCATGTAATCATTAATTTATATTCTAGATACATATTAGCGTAATTACATGTGACAAATTAATAGGGTAATTTATATTGTTATTATATATAGATCCCTAACCTATTGGAATAAATGAAAAGAAACATTTTACCTATTTTTTCTATTATTTTATAGTCTTATTTCAGGCCACTTTCCATTCTTCTTGAATCCCAACACTTGGATTTGAGTTCTACACCCTTTAATTTGAGAATATGCATTACGACATCTTAACTTCCTTAATGAAGTCAATGAGTGGTGGGTTGAGATAGAGGTTAATGGTTGGGGGGGTTTGATTTATGAAGAAACTTCAATTCTTGAAAAATAAACTCAAGGGTGTGGAAATAGGTCTCTCGTGATGTCAGTATTTGAAAGAAGAAATTTCTTGAGAAAATTGTTACTCTAGGTAAGATGGTTTTAACAACATAATTTTAGAAGGTCAATATTTTATACTGTCATGTTTAAGGGATGAGCTTGAGAATATTATTATCAAACAGGATGTTAGTTGCTAGCAAAAATTTAAATTGGGAATTTGGTTTCAAAAAAGGCCTTTATTGGCTAAGTAGCTTCCTCGTTTTCCATAGGAAACTTGTTCTCTTTGGCACGAGGTGATTAAGCATATCCATGGTGTGCAAAAGAATGGTTGTGATTCTATTGCTAGGAATACCATTTGCTACAAAAGTTCTTGGAAGAATATCTCCTAGTTTTATGATCTCTCTATTTTTTCACCACTCTACAGGTGAGGGGCCGCTTTTAGATTTTATTTTGGAAGCTGTTTAAATAAGAGATCGTCTTTTAGCCTCACATTTTCCTCGTTTTATAATCTTTCCTAACACCACCCATGCTCCTATTGATGACTTTTTCATTTGTCATTTTGACGAGCAATATTCTTGAAATTTACACTTTTTAAACATCTCAATGACTGAGAATCTGGATATATGATTTTCTAGATTCGTATGCTTCAGCCTTGTTCTATGTTCTCCCTAAGTTGATAGTAGAATTTGGATTGTTGGTTCGTCGGGTGCTTACACTTGCATGTCTTTCGTTATCATGTTTCTTGATAATACTAATTGTGCCCTTGAGCTTCTCAGTTCTCATTTTTTTAAGGTTCAAACCACCTCTTAGGTCAAGGTTTTTGTTTAGACAGCTATACAGAATAATTACTAATTATTTGTTGCATGTTCTCAGACAAACTATGTTCTTTCCTCTTATGTTTGTGTAATGTGTTTTAGGTTTTATGAATCCTATCATCACCTTTTCCTTTGCTGCAATGTC